CTCGTTATTTTATACCCGGTTAAAAAATAAATAAACGTTGCGCTTTTGAGCGGTTTTTTGGGGGAGTCGCTCCCTAAAGTCTTGAAGGAGAGGTGTCGCGTGGACCCAAGGACAGTCGGATGCAGACAGGTCGGCTGAGAGATATGGTGAGATGGAGTCGAAAACTTACAGCTGCGGTCGGCGAGCGTCTATTGTTTCGTAAATTAATGTAGCTGAGGGGGGAGTATCCAAAATAAAACAATAAAAACAAAAAATATCGGTTCCCTTGACTCTGTGGAGCTAGCAGTGCGAGCGTCCCTTTTTCCTCCACACCATTTATGGAACACAGTGTCAGGCTGGTGTGAGATCTGATTGGTTGAGCGGGGACAGACAGGGGTTGGCGCGCGCTGCTCTTGAGGAGACTGTTGGAGAGGGCGAGGCGCGCGCGAGTCATTGGGGAGCGTCACGCCTTTGGGGAAATAGCGGGCTCTGATTGACAGCTAATTTGATCTTCGGTTGCACGTGGAAGACAGGTACTTGTGAAACGTTTTGGGTTTAAGTGTAGTGTCAAAAGCAAACTGTACCTGTGATGACTAGATATGGATAATTTACAATTTGTACCTGAGGAAAGACGCACGCGCACATAGTCTACAGTGTTTTTTTTTTTGTGTGTGTTTTTTAACTTGGTTGATATCAGTGTGTGAATTTTGCAATGACTTATAAATGCAATTTTCGAGACCAATCTGTTTAAGTTTGTCTCGTGCAAGGCTACATGTTGTAATTTTTGGCGCCACTAGAATAGTTACGAGCCTAATACCTTTTTAAACAATTAACAAACGTTTTATGATATATTTGTGAATTATACGTTTATAATAAAGTGGTAAATAAGACAGTCATTGGTCACAGCGTATTGTTGCTATGGTTACCTCCTCAGGCGAACTTGGCATCAGTTTGTGTGAGTCTACTTGGCGAGAGATAAAACTAACGTTAACTTCATCTTTGAACGATAAAACTAACTTTATCTTTAGACCTCGTTGAATACACACACACACACACACACACACACACACACACACACACACACACACACACACACACACACACACACACATATGTATAGGCCTACACATTTACATTCACATTTAATGTGTGAAGTTTGGAATTCTTTTTGGTGTGGGTTCAAGGTCTCCCTCCTCCTCCCATAATTGGTTTAAACCCTTGTCGTTTAATCTTTAAAATTTGTTTAATATTGTGCCGTAGATCTTATTAATGCAAGCAACGTATTTCTACGAACATCAGCAATAGCAGCACAAGCTAATTAATATTCATGACCATAGCCTTCTCATTTTGTGATGTCACAGGCTCATCTTGCTCCCCCTACTCATTCATGCACACACTACATTCAATTGCATCTACTCAGGTAAAATGGACAGTCTTGTAAAATAATGTCATCCAATGCATTATTTTTTTCTTTCATTTTCTCTTTTCTAAATATTATTGCAAACTCTTCCCACATTCTCTGTTGTTCGCAGCTGCACACGCACTGAATCAATAATTAACCGCGAGACCAGCCGCTCCCACCCCTGACAAAACCCATTTCACATCTCCACCGGTGAGGGCTGCCCGAGAGCGACTGCTCGCCGAATGAAGGGATTTCAGATCTTGTTTTATTTACCAAGATATGGAATTCATCACGGGCAAAAACACATTTCCTGCTTGCACCCATTTACTCCGCATATACAATCCTAATGTTACACATTCAATGGGTCTTCGGGGAGTTTTGTGTGAATGCATTTTGCTCTCAGGTTTGTTGTGGGGGAATAATGTGGGTGTCATTTTAATATGGTGTGGGTCTTTGTGTTGCTGTACTGGTACAATAGAACAAATCACAGGGCTGGAATGGGCTTGGAAACGGCTGTGGTCTTATCGTCTCTGCACCTGCAATTCTAAAAACCACAGCGGAGGTCCCTTACGGTGAGCAACTGACTTGACAAGAACTACTTTTGGCATGAGAGTCCAGCAGAGCCATAAAAAATGAAAGACATTTCTCACTAAATGGCCAGGCCTCGCTCTTAGGGACACAGTACTTGAGAGCTCGACCTGAGAAAACCCAAACTTCATGTAGACTATTTATATTTCTCTGTTCTTGTCAAATGTGTTTGGCCCAATAGCAGGATGTTGTGCTTCATGTGTATATATATATATATATATATATATATATATACATATACACTCACCGGCCACTTTATTAGGTACCCCATGCTAGTAACGGGTTGGACCCCCTTTTGCCTTCAGAACTGCCTCAATTCTTCGTGGCATAGATTCAACAAGGTGCTGGAAGCATTCCTCAGGGAGTTTGGTCCCTATTGACATGATGGCATCACACAGTTGCCGCAGATTTGTCGGCTGCACATCCATGATGCGAATCTCCCGTTCCACCACATCCCAAAGATGCTCTATTGGGTTGAGATCTGGTGACTGTGGAGGCCATTTTAGTACAGTGAACTCATTGTCATGTTCAAGAAACCAATTTGAAATGATTAGAGCTTTGTGACATGGTGGAAGTAGCCATCAGAGGATGGGTACATGGTGGCCATAAAGGGATGGACATGGTCAGAAACAATGCTCAGGTAGGCCGTGGCATTTAAACGATGCCCAATTGGCACTAAGGGGCCTAAAGTGTGCCAGGAAAACATCCCCCACACCATTACACCACCACCACCAGCCTGCACAGTGGTAACAAGGCATGATGGTTCCATGTTCTCATTCTGTTTACGCCAAATTCTGACTCTAACATCTGAATGTCTCAACAGAAATCGAGACTCATCAGACCAGGCAACATTTTTCCAGTCTTCAACTGTTCAATTTTGGTGAGCTCTTGCAAATTGTAGCCTCTTTTTCCTATTTGTAGTGGAGATGAGTGGTACCCGGTGGAGTCTTCTGCTGTTGTAGCCCATCCGCCTCAAGGTTGTGCGTGTTGTGGCTTCACAAATGCTTTGCTGCATACCTCGGTTGTAACGAGTGGTTATTTCAGTCACTGTTGCCCTTCTATCAGCTCGAACCAGTCTGGCCATTCTCCTCTGACCTCTGGCATCAACAAGGCATTTCCGCCCACAGAACTGCCGCTCACTGGATGTTTTTTCTTTTTCGGACCATTCTCTGTAAACCCTAGAGATGGTTGTGCGTGAAAATCCCAGTAGATTAGCAGTTTCTGAAATACTCAGACCAGCCCTTCTGGCACCAACAATCATGCCACGTTCAAAGTCACTCAAATCACCTTTCTTCCCCATACTGATGCTCGGTTTGAACTGCAGGAGATTGTCTTGACCATGTCTACATGCCTAAATGCACTGAGTTGCCGCCATGTGATTGGCTGCTTAGAAATTAAGTGTTAACGAGCAGTTGGACAGGTGTACCTAATAAAGTGGCCGGTGAGTGTATATCAGTGCTGTCAATCGATTAAAAAAATATTAATCGCAATTAAAAACACTTACGTTTTTATACGTTTTGTATATATTTTATAATGTAATAATTTCACAGTTAATCTCCAAATCAATGTAGAGACAACATAAAGAAAGTATATTTTAAATGAAGGCCAGTATCACTGATACTAATACAGCTACTGGTGTCTCATGAAAATGACCCCCCCCCCCCCCCATTTTAAAAATGAATTATAGCCATTCAACATTACAGTGTAATTTAAGCAAACTTCAAACAATCCTCACATAAACTCATACAAAAAGTCGTATTTTACCAGTGCCCTTCCTACCTATCTAACAGGTAGGACATTTACAGAAATCCTTATTAAAGCTACACAAGTTCTTTATTCACTGTTTCACTGTTAACTTTGTTCTTTGATTAACTTTACTGACAGACAGCATTAGTGGATGCTTTCACTTTAAGACCAGCCGCTGCAGCACATGACGCGGATCTCACACGTCTCATTCTCTCACAACTCTTTACGTTCATTTAAGACTTTATTTAACTGATTTAAGACTGGTCTTATGAGGATACTTGACAAAACGGACATTTTGTCTTAATTGTGTGTTATTGTTCATATTGTGCGCGAAAGAGAACTCGATTCTGTGCGCACGCACGATACTGGCGCGTGTCTTTCTGTGCTCCCTGTGTGTGTCAGGACATTCATATAATGTATACACTATAGCCAAAGGGTGACAAAAAACGGATTCTGCGTTGACAGCAGTCACAGCACACATATATATATACACATATACATATAATTAATACATGTATTATATACAGTATATTTAAATGCATAAATATTCACACAATGGTTAAAATAGCATTATTCAAAACAGCAGTGCACATCCCATATACCAAAATACACCATAATCTAGTTATTGTGTTTGCTTCCCATTTTGCTCACTGAACCATGTGGCACCATATGAGTTATAGAAGACATTACCTTTCATCTTCCTCATAACAAGACATTAATTTAGGTCCCTCCCACCAACAGAGAGAGAAAAACCTGTCTGTCGTTTCATTCATATGCAGGCATGATTCAATTATACAGGACCTCACATCATAGCACAGGCAAACTTGAGTCAGTTCTTTAACCTGTGTGAGTTTACAAATATGAAGTCTAGCAATCACATATGGAAACCATCACTGAACTCTTCACAACCTCCAAACTGAACGAGAACAAGCAGAAACCTCTCCACCCTTCTGATACCACCAACCATTTTTCATCATCACATGGTTGGCAGGTGGAAATGTGTACTTTGACTTTCATACTGTGAGTTTGCAAGAGTGAAAAAGGTTGGGTAGTGGGAGATTGCTACACTCACTTTCTCTACGTCTGACCATTAGGCATTTCAGAGAGAGAGACATATCCATGTGGGTAGTCAATGCCAAGGTCTCTGCACTCTCATTTGGATGTAAACAAAGTACTGAGTGCCTTATGCAGATGTATTTTTCATATTGTATTTCAGTGGAGGGCATTTACTGCATACAGATTTAATGTTTTGCTTTTGATTTTTTTCCTTTGTGTTTTTTTTTTCAGACAATAATAGCAGAACAGATCAGCTCCTGGCAATGGTAAGTTACAAACAACAATAAATAACAGTAAATAGATTTGAATGCTGTGACATTACTGTAATATTCATCACTACCAGGTATTCTACACTATGGTTGCTTTTGTCAAGAGTCAAAGAAACATCAATAAATCATAAATAACAACGATTCTTACAGTGGCAGTTATCTTTCTCTCTCTCTACCTTCTCTTTCTTGGAAATCTCTATAAAGGACTAAATGTCAGCTGCTGGTCTTTGTAACAGCTGATGCGGCAGATAGAAGAGGAGACAAGTCCCATCTGGAAGGTTCAATTTGAATTTCCCTGTATTCAAAGTTCCATAGATTACTAAAAACATACAAGCATAAATCAGAAAGATCTGGACTGTATAGTAATATACCAGCTATCATACTATTTTCAAAATATCTTATGGTTTGAAAATATCAGTGTTTTGTTTTTAATCACTATCATTATACAGTATTTGAGTAGTTGACCTGCATTTTAACATTTTGCCGAATCTCAACTAAAATGGTTTTCAAATTGTTATACAATTACACATGCAATTTTTGTGACCCCACATGAATTGAGAAACTACGTGGAATATTTGTATTGAAAGGAATCACACCACGAGGCTGTTTAAGAATCTAAAAGTGGTGAAAAATGATGAGCGGTCATAGCATCTAAAATGCACAGGTTAATTTGAACCTAAAATCCTGTTAATGAAAAAAAAAAAGCATTATTTGTCAACTACTCATTTGCATCATCCAATATGAGAGAGTGTTTTGAATTAAGGCGGTGTACACCATTAGTAGACGTGCCGGCTGAGGGAACGTGTCCAGTATGACTCAGAGGCTGCGTGTGACCCTCTGTCTCTCTGTTCACTCCTGGGCTGGGTGGGGACAGATGGAGGGAGGGGTCTTAGGGATTAGACTGGCATGAGGTCTGCGGTGGGAGGTTTGGCCAAGAATGCATGGAGGTTTTGAGTGGGAGGATGTGACCTCGGGGATCTATACTATTGCAGAAAAGTGTATGTGTGTGTCTGTACACGTAAACGACTTTCATTTAGTCATCATACGTTGGATAAGCCTCTCTGAAAAACGAACAGCAGGTAATAGCAGTCAAAGTAAGATAGCATCATTTTATATAAGATGCCGTTATGTTGTCCTCCAACCCACATGCATTTTGTGTCAGCCATTTTGCCAAATGGGCTTTTTATGCAGGTATTGCCGAGCTAAAGGATGGCTGTTCTGACCACCGGCAGAGGGGTTTTATAACAGACCAGCTAATGAAAATCACATAATTTATCGGCTGTCAAAAAGCCATTAAAAGTGAAACAGCATGCGAATTGAGTAACGGGCTAAAAGCAACGAGGCTAATTGATTTATTTTCATTCTGTAAAATTGGTGTTTCTATATGCTCAGCTAACTAATTGACACTGAAATTGTATTCCTTTTTTTAATCTTGGATATGTCCGTTATACAGTAGTTAAATTGAATTGTAAATTGGAATTTGATTTGTGTAATTGTGGATTGAAATGCAGGTTTTTTTTTACTCAGAACACATTTTCTTGGAATGGAAAATATTCATGTATATACGGTATTTCAAAACTCCCCTTTTTAAAATTCATATAGAACGTCTATTCTCTTTTTCATAACTGAGTTTGTGTGTGATTTTGATGCAGTCAGAGGTTTGGTCAAAGCCTTTGCTAGCTGAGCATGTAAAATGTCACTTTAGTTATTGTTCACTCAAACACTAAGAGACACATGCACACACCCAGAACTGCAACCTCTCTCTTTCTCCCTCTCTCTTTCTCTGCCCGTGCTCCTTTGTTTCTGGAGTACCCCTGATCCTCTGCGGCCGCTTAGCTCCAATTAGAGCATCCCACCAACCTGGCCTCTAACACAAATACACACACACAAATGCTTAGCCCCAGCCTCCTCTCACACTGCCTCATTTCAGCCCTCAATCTGACTAATTACTCTGAACCTTGCATGCCCCATCTCTCCCTGCTTCCAAACACACACACACACACGTACACACACACACCACCTGACTTCTTCCGTTGGCCATAACCACAAATCCAAGTGCTCTTGTTTGTCAAATATTTCAGATCTTGTCCACTCGGATGAGTGTGTTACGCATCCATCAGTGTCATGTCAATGTTATCGATTTCCACCATATGCATCTTACTCATTCACTTCACATTCACTCCTGCTTCCACCATGAGCACCACAGGCATCTATTCTGAGAGTTTAACATGTTAAAACATGCAACCGACATGGTGATAATTGTTTCAACTGCGCAAAATCTTCCAGTGAGATTATTTTGTCTCAATTTTCACCCTGAATAATAACAGGTTTATTTAAAGACACTGAAGTGTAGATCACCTGCAAGCTGTCAGTTGAAGTGTGTTAAAAATTGCACATCTCATTTTTTGATTAAAAAAAATTCACTTTGTCCTGTTATTTGGGAATTCACTAGAAGATTAGTAGATTAAAAACACTGAAATTCATTTAAAACACTGCATGTTTACAGTTTAGTTCAAGTTTAGTTAGTATTTCCCCTCAAATTACTTTGTTTAAAAAAATCCAGTCAATATGCCAATAAAAATGCTAAACTTTTGTTTTAGAAAAACGTAAACATTAAGGAGAAACCGAAAAACGGATAATCCCAGACCTACTGTTTCTATTCCATTTTGATTTGTTGAAGGACAAATATTTTTTTTCTCTTCACATCAAATTCTCTCTCTTATTTGACATATCCCGATTGTCACAATTCTCATTCGTCTTGGGATTAAGGGGTGAAGTTTTCTCCCTCTGAAGCAAATATCTCTTTCTGTCAGAGGACATGAGTATCACCCAGTCCAATTCCTGTTCCTGTCACCTTCTCAAAGGAGAACCCCGACACCACATCAACTCTTTTTGGCGGCTTCACCGCCAGGCAGCACTGCAAGTGTCAGGCTGCTGAGCTCAGACTCGGCTCACCCAGATGGAGCTCGCCACGTTCAAATACGAAAAACCTGTCTGAAAACGACGGTTGTGCTTCGTATCTGAGATATTTTAGAGGATAAGGATTCAGGTAATGTTTGAGTTAAGATTTAACTGGTTAAAAACAAATATATCATCCATGTCGGTTTAGTGGATTTTCAGTGCTAATAAAATACATCTAGGTCAAAAAATATGACTACTAATAATTATCATGCTGATTTTGATGGTACTTATCATGGTGACATTTTACATTAAGGAAAGCCTCATGGATTGTGGGGAAAATTAGAAAAATGTGGCACTGGTGAATCTTTGAGCAGATATTTAACCCGGTGGGTGGCTCTCATTGTGGCCTGCCCCAAACCAAGGTGACATTGAGCAAGACGCTTTAGCTCTTTTCTGATCATTAACATCACTGCCGATTCTCTCCATCTCATTTGCGTGGTGCAGTCACTTATGGTTGGCTGGAGGGAGACTGAGCGATGGTGAAGATCGAGTTGTATGACGGTTGGCTGTAGGGTGGCCTTTGCTGTGTTTGATCGCAGTCGGAGCTCTCGAGCACGATGAGGAAGACCGCTGTGGTCCATCTGGCCTGGTCTTTAATCAGTGCTTCCCTTCAGAGAGGGGGCCACGCTTTCACTGAGCTGACCAGACCAGCTTTCGCTAAGAGCTACCACAAGATGAATGTAGCTTATTCATTATATTATTCATTCCTCTGTAGTGAATTTGAATAATGGTGTGTTTTGGGGCCTAAAAATGTATGTTTTAAGTTTTGAAGGAAAGAAAAAAAGTTGTCAAAGCTCTGATATTAAGTGTCTTAACCGATGTAAAAATAGTTTATTATGCCTTATTCTATTTAAATTCAGAACATGTATGACTGCCAAATATACCGTAATTCCTCAAATAAAAACCGGGGCCTTGCAGAAGGTAACAGGCTTTTATTTTAAGCAGGCTTTTGTTAGAGGCAGGCCGTTATTTCTAATTCCATCTGTTTGATAAATAATAGGGTTGGGCCGATAGACGATGCAATCGTCCATCGCGTTGGCTGACAGACATCACGATGTTGAGCCGGCATAGTTACTTTATAGTTACTTACACTGTGTATCTGATATGAATAAAACACGTCGGCAAATATATTTGAATGGATTGTTATTGCTGCTTCCATAGACACCATTGTGTATTTTACTAACTAAAAAATTTATTGTTTTGCTATAAATGATATGCATTTAAATGTCTGAAACCTAAAATAAACATTATGTGGTTAAAAACACTGAATAGTTGTGATATAATGACAAGAGCTTTGGCTCAGCCATAGCACGAAAGCACAGTTTTAATGTCACGTCACTGTACATCCACTCCTTAGTGGTCAGCTGCTGCAGAGTGTGCCAAAATCGAAATTACTGATGAGATGTAGAGGAAAATATCTAGTGGAAAATGAGAATGTAACGTTACGTCATTATATGAAAGGCACTTAGGAGATCCACACTAATTTTTCCCCGGCCTTAATTTAAGACCGGCCTTTATTTGTCCGTGTTGACCACTCCCCCGCCCACTATCAGAGGCCAGGCGTTTAATTGGCCACTGGTTTTTATTTGAGAAATTACGGGTATACAAATATACACAATTATGTATACCTAATAGGTCAATATTGTAACTAGTCCCCTTGCAGCTAAACTAAAACTGTACTACTAGACTAACAAATCTACATGTCTCTGATATTCCTATGACAAATGGCAATCATGTAGTAGTTTTTTTAAACTGCACTGACAGAATTTGATTTTCAGCATTCAAAGTATATGTCATTTTTAGCTCATTGATATTATATGTACAACTCATATCTCTGGGGTAAAATCGAACAGAAATGTCCCATCGATCTCGCTTTTTTCCTTTTCTCGTTTCCCTGTTCCCCCACCTATCTTTCCTTGTTTGTAGATACTCCATCACCTTGTCTTTCTGAGCCCTGGGAAAAGCATCGTCAGTATTTCTGCATCACTCCCCTCCATCCATGCTGTCTTTCTCCCAGAATTCATAGTGCCTTACTTATTCAGAGCAGACGAGAGCAAGGCAAGAGAAAGGAAAAGATTCTGAAAGAGAAAAGATACAAGAGCCGCTAGCTGTAGACAGAAGGAATGCCTTAAGAAGCAATTAGCATATGTAACTTATTTTTCCCCCCTCTGCCTGAAACAGGGTTATTTCAGTGAGTTTGTATTGATGTTTTTGAACAGGCTCCATGGCAGAGCATTTAATGCTGAACACTGCTGTTAGAGAGAATGCATTATTAATGTGAGGGGAAACTAACGGGGACCAGCAGCTCCTCGGGGCTGTGAAGAGGACGGTTGGCGTCTCTGAGGAAGCAACACCACGCCTCAAAGGTCTTCCTCGGTAATGCACACATGCCAGGCATCTATCATTTATTCATGACAGTCAGGCGCCTCCAACTCCCTTGAACAATTAACGAATCAATGAAATGTATGGGCTCAGAACCTATCAATACGGGGAAACAGCGCCGTTCGTCAACGTGTCAGCTCTTGGGCACAGGCTATCATTCAGGCAGAGAGCACATTTATCACTTCAAAAACAGCCTGCTTTGTCATAGCGGATAATCCTACTACAAAATGGCCGCCCATTCTGATGGATGATTGGACTTCCTTAATAACAACCGGTCAGGGTTGACTGCTTTTCTTAATGTGTTTAACATGCAATCCAACACATTAGAGTGTTTCAAGGAGTCTTTGGAATCTGTTTTCCTGAACTTTGGGTAAACAAATCTTGAAAATCTTGTTTAATTTTGAATTGAGTTAAAATTTCTTAAAATATGGTAGCTCGTAAAATTTGCGCTCTAATGTTGCCCTTGTAGCCAGTGCTCAAGCTGTAAAAGTAACGTGTGCAAAGTGAAAAAGGGAGGGAGAAAAAGAGTGAAATTGATGAATTACTGGTGCTGCTTTCTACACTACAGTGCCTTTGCAATTCCTGTTCAATTAACAAAACCATTAATTATAGTACTTAAGCAAGCCGGGGTAAACCAGACAAGCAAGCATTCATGCACTTAACACACATTCATGTGTAAGCATTTAACGTTTCTCTTTTAAAAACCACTCCATCCTCATTCCTGAAATACTGAATCATTAAAATGTCTATTTCTTTTTCTGGAAGAATAAAACAGCACTGCTGCTAAAAAACAACAACTATTTTGGACTATTTGGAAATACTGTGAATTTTAGTATGCATTCTCAGTAACAGTCTTGAGTGCTGGCTCAGCCATAGAAATTACTCTTCCTTTGTATTTTTCCCCCTTTTCTGCTCTTTCTTTTATTTTGTATCTTTTTATGGCTTTGCTTGAATAGTCTCACTTAAAACACAAAGCTCTCGCTGTTCACTGAATCCTCTGTTTTGATGTTCTTTTTCCCTGCAGAAATCACAGCCCTGAAACTCCAGATGAAGACTAGACCTTTATTCTGTACGCAGAGAGAGGTAAGTGAACGTGTTTTCTTTGGGGACCATCATCGCCAGCACTCGCCCCCTGCTGCTGAAATCACAGGCTTTTTACTTCCAGGTCATGGTGCCTGTATAACTCACGCTGACCCCTCTCTTAGCTGACTTTTTTTTTCAAAGAGAAAAAGGGGAAAGCTTTCAAGACCTCCAATCTTCATCAACACCAAGTCCCTGTGAAATCATCAAAAAGTAAAGGCAGTGAAAAAAAAAATCATATACTGACTCGGGGCTCAGAGATTCAGTGACTGTCGTCCCTGGAGGAAGCGTCTTCCACTACATAGGCACAGGGGCCAGATGTCACCTGTCCTCCCAGGCGAGGGGAGCTCTGGTGGAGCTAAGACTCAACCGAGGCAGGCTGCCCTGGTTCTCTCTCTGCCTGGCTGGAGACACCTGCTCTTCGCCTCAATGGTGACGGCCCCCAGTGGAGCTTTTTTTCATCTACTTTCACATGCACGAGCATCCTGAAGCACCGCGGGTGTGCGAGTGCGTGTATGTAAGTGAGGTGTGTGTTGTTTGTGTGTCATATTTATGTGACTGTAAGATTCACACACACATGCACCCTTATGATGACGATACAAACTTAATTTCATTACATTTGTTTCCTAATGAGCACTCTCATCCTGTTTCTCTGCTTAACATGCTTATGCCTGAAAACACAAAACTGCGAGCGTTTATGGCTCTGCAGCCAGATTGCTTGTGCTAATGCTTCCTTAGACACGTTTCAGAAGATGTCTAGGGTCCCATGTGTATTGTAACTTGGGTTTGCCTCTTTAGTTAGACCCAAACTCAGTTGTCCACTGGGCCATTATTGCTGTCAATTCATGAGAATAAGTTTGCCACTGATTATGTGGTACTGAAACACAAAAAAATGATCTGATTGCAGGTCCATTTGCTTTCAGTTTTTTCATATTTCAAATTTGTTTTATACAGACGAACATTTTTATTGTCATCCATCAGATTACTTAAAAACAACAACAATCAAATTTTCTTTGGTATTCACAAAATTTGCAATACGTTGTTTAGTTTCTCTTAATATCACATCTATTTACAATATGAGCGCAGAGCGCCACCATAATGCTCACACAGTATTTGGATGCAGTCCTGTGCAACATTTGGTGTATGTCTATTAAAAACCGGTGGTCCTGCATCACTAGTTTACGGAACAGGAGTTTGTTTCTGCACCCTGTCATTTACACATGCACACACACACTTGCGTTTGAGCAGTGAAAGATGGCTAATTCTCTCACTAATGCCTTGTGTGTGTGTGCGCGCAGTGCCCGTTGAGTGACCCACAGGTTAAATAGCTCATTCTTGCGGCCTTTTCTTCCAAAATGGCAAAGTGCCCTGACAATAGCGGTGGCCTCTGAAGCTGCAGGACTCAGGGCTCCAGATCTTTCTCTGTGATGGCTCTGCCATTTTCACACTAGCACAGAATAACAGACGGAGGCTTCTTGACTAAGCCATTGGAAATTACATTTTGACAGAATATTGATGAGAAGTACTTCAAATTCTCAGCAGCGAGAATAAAGTGCTAGTGTCATATTTGGTTTTACACAGTAGCTTTTGTACCCGGCTAAATATACACAGAGGTAAAAAGGTATTGATGTCGAAATTCTGAGGTGAACGCTAATAACTCTGCGAGGAGAGACGTCCTACTAGAAGGAGAAAAAGGTGCTTATTTCTGAACAGGAAGTTGATCCACTGCAATCTACTGCTATTGTGTTGCGAGATGCGAATCTTTTCACAGTTGATGAGTCTGCTTTACTTGCTGCTTGGCTGCTCTTTTAGAGGATTCACACTCGCGCACACGCTCGCTACGGCTTTGTGCGGGGGTAGAATGCTGCACCTGTTCTCAGTACAGTTAGGCTGGGGTTGAGCAGCACAAATGAACTAATTTCCAGGGCTACATTGAACAGAGAACACTGCAATCACAGCAGGAGGAGCCTGTCGAGCCGGCAGATGGGCAGAGCTAATCATTGTTGTGAAATAGAGATGACCCTGCCTATCTCTCACACTGCCAACAGACATTTGCCAATCGCTCTTCAATTCCCTCTCCTCTCCCCCTCATCTCTGTTTGTTTCTCAGCTCCCTCCAACGAATTTAGGAGAGAACGTAACCTTCAAAAATGGCTGAAAATGAAGCGAGTAAGCGAGCACAAAAGCATTTGATAGAGTAACTATAACCCGTGGACTGCTGGAGTGTGTGTGTGTGCATGAACAGCATCTCCAATCAGCATCAGAAATTTGTAATCCAGCAAATCTGCATGTGTTTGGGTTAATCCACGTAACCCTACCAAGTCATATGTATTTTCTTCGGAACGTGCCGCTTTTCTCATGATTGTACTTTTGTGCTGTTTCAGAGGTTTTCATCATTTGTGCTGAATGCTGAAAAATGTTCAGTAATTGGAAATCCCACCGTATCCTGCTTAGCGAATTATCTGTAGTGACAATGTGTCATGCTTGATTAAAAAAAAAACACTGTGGTTATTAACCGTGATTAGAAATCATTTCAATGTCTTCTGGATGTTCGAGAACCCATGAGAGTGCTTGGCACGAGGATTCCAAAATTAAACATAACTACTTTTATGTGATGCAACTGTTTTTCTACTTCCGCAAATAAAATGTTTTACTTTTATTAAATTATTCCAGATTGTTTATAGGTAGATGGTAAAATTAGTGATCCATGGCTTCTCTTGATTGCGCTTGGCTTTTAATGTCAGTTCATGTTTGTAAAAGCATCTTCAGATCTAGCTCTGAGTGTTTTCATCGCTTGATTGATTTACTTAATCAAAAAATACAGTCATTACTTTGATATATGAATTCTACACATGCTGCGCATATAGAAATATAATTGAAAAAGCTGCATCCAAATGGAACGTTCTAGTCGTTTTCCTCAACAAGATGTCTGAGAGCAATCTAATGCATGTATAAAAAAAATATTGACAGAGAACTAGAAGGGAGAATAAAATCTCCCTCTCACAAAAAAATGCCTAGACAGACCTCTACTTCTTCCCTGTACAGTGATTTAATGTATGCAAATTATCTAGCTTCAGTTAATGAAGGCACAATTAATCTTTGTAACGATGGTCTGATTCAACCTGGTTAATTACAATCTGAAATGTGAGTTGTGTGTTTGCGGATACATGTGAGTCACAAATGCAGATTTTTTTACGAGAAGCAACAGTCCAGCTGCTTTTCCCTGCCCCCATATGAATAAACAGCACAATTTATTATCCAAATGTGATATATAAAAAAAAGGAAATTGGCAAGAGTATATTTTTTATCCTGATAAAAAATAAATATTTACATATAATGTACAATGACTGTTATTGTACAACAGTAAAACATGTGAAAATAAATTATGCCAGGCATAGTAACTGAAAATTATATTTCAGTCATTTTATTGTTTAATTCTATTCATTTCTATCTTTACCATGAAAAGTGCAAAAGTAGAACTTTAAAACAGTTTGTTGACAGTCTCTCGAGGTGGAAAGAGAAACCGAGAGAAGCTTCACTTCTCCTCAAACCATCTTTATCTTCAAAAAAAGATTTTACTGTAAACCGTGTTCTGCTAATGTGAAAAATCCAGAATAACACTTCACGCAGTCACACAGTTCATAACCTGTCACAAATTTTCATTATATATTAAATGTTGCCTAGATTTTCTGCCTTCCCATGCCAAATAGTGACTAATTGCTAGATGACAATGATTTTTCGGATTTACTAGTGAACGTTTTGTAGTTCAAATGAGAATATTCGTGGTTGTGACTTTACATGCCTTTTCTCTTTTTTCTGTCTTCTTAGAGCCGAAGAATCACCAGGATGAATATTCAGAATGTTTCAAATCCCTGAGCTGTGGAGGATCCACAGCTGCATGCGATCGCAGTGTGTGTATGTATATTTGTGTGTGTGTTTGTGCACTGGCAGAAGAGCTCCATTGCTGTCAGTATGAGTCTGATTTGTGTGAGAATGTGGTGCGGCTCCAGGCAGGCAGGCTGATCCTGTTTTGTGGAGACGAGGAACGAGAGCCCATCACAGATTAGACACCCACAGTTTCGTGTCGATTTAATGCACCAAGTCAGGGATTTATTCTTAACCGACCGGCGCTTACAGCACCAGCCAGCCAGGGCTTTCCCATACAGCCATCTCACTTCCCCCCCAAGACTGTAGTAGAATATCAGAAATTACTGAATGAGATTGTAAGGATGGATATCCACTTTAATAGCTCCAGACTTGAGTGAAATAACATTCATTATAATCAGGAAAACCTTAGCCAGCTATTTGTCTAGAATCCTCTGTTATGGCCACCTATCAGTAGAGAAATAAAACGGCTGAATGTTGATGTGCTACGAATTAAATTACAATTACAATAGAGCCACTCACATATTGTTGAACTTGAGGTAGTTTTGTAACTGTCTGTTCAGTATAAGACACATGCTTTCTATTTCACACATTTCCAAGCACGTTTCTGCTGAAAGGCTGCAGGGAGCACCAAAACAACACATTCGGAAAGTTGTTTGAAATTCAAAATGATGCTCGAAACAAACCGTACATACAAAAATCTGTCCTTTAGCCATCTAACCTTACAATGCTCAAATGACTTTAAGCATACACACTCACACACACACACACACACACACACACACACACGTGGCGCACTTTCAATTTTAGGCATCAGTACACTGCCGCACAAACATATTCCGAGCAGGAATACACAAACGATACATTTACACAAGCTGCTTTTTCTCACTCTTTCTCTTTCTCTCTGGCTAACTGATAGAAAGATCTAGTCGGAGTGGGCGGCCGTATCATCACACAATGAGGCATGAAACATTGGCTAATTCAAGCCTTAAGGCTGCACACATTTACCTAAATTAAGTTAGTATTCTTATTCTACTGTGCCATCTATTTTCTCGTTCATATGTCTAACAGATCTGTCTATCCTCTTACCCCCAGCTCCCTGGCCCCCAGTTGGCTGGATGGATCTCGGGGGAAAAGCGGCGAGCCCATGCCTGGGAAGGAGCCCTCCGCCTGGGCTACTGCCGAGTTCTGTGAACACCTTACCATCATCTTCAGACACTGCTCGCGAGGTGCGCATTTACAGGGAAGAGGAGAAAAGAAGAGAAGAGGAAGAGAACAGAATGCTAGCCAAGGTGGTAACGAAATATACAGGCTAAAGAAATAGCAAGAGGCGAAAGGAAAGAGAAAACTGAACTGCCACAGTGATAGAGAGCCGTGTGCTTACGTTCACATTGGCGCTACACTCACACAAACACGCACGCACACACTCAGTGCAAGCCCCAGATGGGCAAGTCATCAAGCAAGCTCAGCAGTTACAGCTATCTTGCTTTGAGTAAATGAGAAAATGAAATGATTGTGCGTGGGAGAGAGAGAGAGAGAGCGAGTCTAGTCTCTCATCCATTACAGTACGCCCGGAGAGCAAAGAGGTTCTGCCTTCAGCTAGCAGACGTTTAACTGGACCTAAATGCTCAATCCCTGCACATTCATTTGGACCTGCCAGCTGCCACATTTAGAAGCATGGACACACTGATAAAACAGAGAAACGTTACGCACAACAGAATAATGAACACACACTTAGAGAAGTGAGGTGACAGAAGAAGAAAATCCAATTCCTTTACCTCATTGCTCAACAAAGCAGCATTCAGTGTTCGGCTGATTTCAAACATCTTGTTGGCGGTGTTTCGTTTCTTGTCGCTTTTTGTGATGGTTTGTTTTGCGTTCTCGTGGCTCTACGGCTCCTTCTTCTCTACTGGAAATGGGAATCAGTCCCGAGAAAAAAAAGAAAGAAAAATGAACAGATTAAAAAAAAAGAAGAAAAGGAAGGAGAAATCCTCTATATGTGCTGTCTGGCTGGATGTATTTTCTCCTCTCTCGCGCCCGTGTTTTCTGGTGCACCTCTGTTAAATGTGGCGCTTGTGCCCTGGCTCACGGCACACGACTGAAGAGTCAATATTTTTTTTTTTTTTTGCTCCCCAGAGTCAGCACATTAAAACAAGCAGTCGGTCTGCCGGGCTTCTTCCCTTATCTGTCCTCCACACACTCGCTCGCACAATGCGTTACGATCCTCACACTGCTCTCTAGCAGATTAGTTCGTCCCAAAACATAGCTCTTAGTTTAAACTCCTCTCTCTCTCTCTCCCTCACCCTTTCTCTTTCTCTTTCTCTCCTTCCTTGCTCCCTCCCTTCCTCACACTCCCTCTCTCTCTATCTCTCTTTACCCCCACCCCACCCTCCACTCGCTCCCTCTGTCTATTTCTCGATCACGCTCTCCTGCAGTTACAGTTCACAGTGTTACCACAAGGTGGGAAGACTGTTCATAACAGACATGACACAGGCACATCTGCCTTTCCTGGCTCATCTTTTCCTCTCCGTTTGGCTTCACGGCTCTCCTCCTGCTGCTTGCGGGGAACACATGATCGCTTTGGCACCCGCTCACCTCCATTCTCTTCTCTCTCGCCTCCCTCTGCGCCTTCGTCGCTTCGCGACAGCCTCATTTGATGTATGGGAGAGAACGGGGCTGATTTATAGACCAATAGCATTAAGAAAACTTTGACCAGTGGCACCTAGCCGGAGAAAACCCCTGCTGAGATGTCGACACAACGTTCCCGGACACGTTTCTACATCTGAAATGGCATCAGAGCAAGACATTGGCGTAATTGTACACCGTTCAGTGCTTCGATTCACTGCTTCACATAGCTACACTGACCCCGAAATGCATTTGGATACTTATACGTATGAATGTAAATATGTAAATATATATAAATGCCACTGCATTAGATAACAAAATATCTAACCAATTCGTATTTATTTTACAGAAAGGTTGCACATGCATACTTTCTGGTTGTCAAATGTTAGGGGGGCATGTGCATATTTAATGTGATGAAGAAACCTGTGGTTACTGTGCTAGAGACAACTGTGTTGAACTTACTTCATGCTATTATGACTTGACCTTGGTTAATTCTGAAAGGTCTAGCATCATTTGTTCACATATTCCAAATTTGGCTTAAGTGTTCAAATATGTTTTGGGGCCATTGTACTGTATGTATAAAGGAATTTGTATAATGCCTGATTATTAAATTGCATAGACAATTTTTGTCTTTCAATTGTGTTGTGTTGGAATTTGCTGAAATATAATCATTGATTCATTAGAAGTAGTTTCAAAAGATTAAAAATACAATAATCTTTAGATGAAAACTTAAACGCTGATTCCCACTTATCAGGAGAAACCCGAGGAGTAATGACCTGTCCTCTGAATAATTAAACAACCAAACCCTTTAATTTAATTTGAGAATTACATAGAATAATAAACAACCTGATTTTTATCCAACCATTGAGGTTATTTTCTGTGTAGCATACAGTAATCAAATCTGATTTAAATATTTATTTTAATTTAATGTTTGTTTCTTTGTTGTTGTTTTTTACTTTAAATAACTGGTTGACTCATATTCTTGGCTTTAGATTTGAAAACGTTGTTTCATGTTCCTTTATAATTCTTTTATATGGACAAACTTATAAGTATGAGCAATCATGAGGTCATTGTTATTCATTGATTTAGTCATAGACTCGCAGATGTATTCCCATCAGCCAATGACCGCATAACACTGTAATCTTACCATTTAAAAAATAGTATTCGATATGCATACTAAATCAGACTTTAACAAGATGTTTAATTTAAATTGTTTAGCTATAATTATAAAGAGAGTGGATTAAATTGTCAAGATTCATTATGTTGTTTTGTGTTAAACAATTACTTTTTAATTGTTCAACATTTAATATAATACTGTCTATGGCAAAGCATCTTTATGCCAACGGAGGCAGCTAAACTCAGGTACAAGACAAACCACAAAACCACATGTTTCTCTCTCAAAATAACAAATCATGCAAGAATAAGTCAGTTTCAACCTGTTTTGTTTCTAGTGAGTGTGAAAAGCGAAGGTTAGCTAAAAGTGGGTATGACAGCAGGAAAATGAGCTGTTTCTTTCTTTCCTCTTCTTGAAAACTGCGTATGGTACAGTATGATCTGGTCTCCAGGCCCCATGAGAGGCGTGTGTCCAGTTAATAGCAGCCTATTGACACCGACCCATCTGTTAGGGTGGACTGAAGCCAACTGAAAGTAGAGAGATGGAGAGAGAACACTGCAATTTTTACGTCATAGATGGTGTGCACATGAGACATTTTTTAAAACTGTATCACATTTGTTTTTTGCTATAACATTTTGTACCTCCACAGCATCTGCGTTGTAACATTTCATGCTAAATCCATTTAGAATAACATCATTATAGGCAAATCTTAAGTAAATAATCCACCCAGTGGGTTGCATGCTAAGGCACCATTGCTAAAAATGCTAAAAAGCACTGTTTTCCCACTCTCGCTGTAATTATGTCATCACTGTGCAGGATTTTATGTTTGTCAAGTACCGTTGCCTATACCGGATTTTAGCGTATACACCAGACCTGGTTCAAAATCGTTCAGGAGACATTGTGTGTATATGTGCGTACACACACTGGGATGGGCTGTCACTTGAATCATGGAGTCTACTGCTTGATTCCAGTCATCTGCCTCTCATTCTCCCTCCTCTGTCCACCAGGGTCCCAGGAGGATTCTGATTGCTGTCTCCATAGTGACTCTATGTGTCTTCATAAAGCCTGTTCAGAGCCTGCCCCTTCTCCTGTGTGCTGTCTGTTCCATGCAGATGACCTGCCATTCACTGCAAGGGACTCATGCGTGGATTCCCAACATGGTCCGTCTAAAAAGGGTTTCCCTGTACACCACCAAAAACATGTTGGGCACGTTGGAAATGCACACCCACACTTACAAACACTCAGGTTGACTCTATAGAGTGTT